GGCTTGTTTTAATGCAGTTTTATGGATGTTGTCCAAAAATATGGTAAAATGTTGCCGCCAGGTCACTTATAATAGTGAAACACGGTACCCAGAGAGGATGCATGTTTTTTCTTCTTTAAAAAAATCTTCAGAGGTTCATGCTGTGGATTAGTGGATTAAACTATGTATGGCATTAGAAAAACACCTACACACTGTTATATATATACATATACATATACACACATATATATATATATATATATATAAAAGAAACAAATATAAATTTTAATTTACAATCACAAAATTACTAAAACTGAAAATATAAATAATAAAAGCTAATTCTAAATGTCAATAAATAATATAATAGCATATAAATATTACTAAATTAACACTGCTTGGAAAATGGGGTAAACAGAGTAAAATTTGGCACCATTTACTTCAACTGGAAGTGTATTGAACCCTGAATATTCCTTTAATGCTAGTCTAGATGGTGGGTCGTGTAAAACTTGACTAAACAATATCAAAACAAATGAAGAGTTCAGATGCAAAAGCCTTTAAGTGCCATCTGACATTTTCGTCTAAAATGAGCATTTTTTTTCTCAGGCTCCTATGTTTAGGTTACTCTAATGGCAATGTATAGGGGTCCTTTTCTATGCAATTAGAGTGAAATAACTGAACATAAATATAGGAGCCTGATAAAAATGCTCATTTTAGAAGAAAATTTCAGACGGCATTTAGAGGCTTTTGCATCTGAACTCTTCAAATGTAGTTACTAGGCAGCGAGCTCCAGAATTCCAGTCGAGTTGAGTTTGATTTTGTGCTGCCTTGCGGCTGAATTCAGGTTGCCTGCTAACCTTAACGAACTACAAAGTCCTTAGGAGTCCACTGGCAGCTAAAGGGCACACAGCATGAGCCTACCATCCCTCCCAGCGTCTCTCTGTACCTGTGATTTTAAAATAGAAGTACAATTTCACAAAAAATAATTAAACAACACATGAGCACTATGGCCAAAGTTGTGCGCACGCTGTGAGAATGCTGACACAGACAGAACAAGCATCTTGGCCCCAAAACATCCTCCTATCTGGGTACACTCCTCCTCATTTCCTGTCACCCTGTCTGAAGGCCTTCTGGGCTGGAAGAAGAGCACAGTCAGAGGAAAAACTCTGACTCTGAAAGTGCTAACTGCCCATTTTATTCTGGGGGTCATGAACCCTCCCCATATTCAGCATCTATGTCAATTAGTCCTGACAGTGAAATGTCAATAATTTAATCATTAGAAATTGTTAGGAAGGGGATGAATAGAGAACATTCCCAAGCAGTGGTGGACTTCAGCACTTAGCCTATAGTGCGCTGATTGAATTTTTTTTATTTTACATTACTGTTTGGCCATAATGACTTTATACATTAATTCTGTGACATATTAACTCATAGAAAATAACCAAAACAATTCAAGGTTTTTATTTAGCACAGTGGCTAGATTAACAAATAACCAGACGCCACCCAATCTAAATATTCCCTCACAGTTTAATAGTAATGACTATGAATTTCTTCACTGATAAAATAGATAGCATCAGAAATACAATAACAAATTTAGAGTCTACAGCGTCTAGTATTTTAGCTTCATTAATCGCATCCAAAGAAAAACTGTAGTGCTTTACAAATATAGGACAGGAAGAGCTAAATAAACTTATCACTGCATCTAAACCAATAACATGCCTATTAGATCCTGTACCCACTAAATTACTGCAAAAGCTGTTACCTGTAGCAGAAGAACCGCTTTCTCAATATTATTAACTCATCATTATCTTTAGGTCACGTCCCAAAACCATTCAAGCTGGCAGTTATTAAGCCTCTTATTAAGAAACCACAACTAGATTCTATTGAACTGGCAAATTACAGACCCATTTCAAGTTGTCCGTTTATGTCTAAAATTTTAGAAAAAGTTGTGTCTGCTAACTAGTCTTCTACCACGCTTCAATCCATCACGCTCCCTAAGGTCGCAAAACTCTAGACTTTTGGTAGAACCTAGGATAGCAAAGTCCACTAAAGGAGGTAGAGCTTTTTCGCATTTGGCTCCCAAACTCTGGAATAGCCTTCCTGATAACGTTCGGGGTTCAGACACACTCTCTGTTTAAATCTAGATTAAAGATGCATCTCTTTGGCCAAGCATTCAAATAATGCATCTCATAATCTTGTACTGCAGTTATATCTGATCAAATGCACATTATTATTCCTTAGCTTGGGTTGAACAAATCAATTTTGCTTGGTTGGAACAGCAGCTATGCTAATTATGTCTCTATTTGTTTCTCTGTTTCTGCCACAGGATTGACATCCTGTGGTAACTAATTACACAAGCTTCAGTCTAGATCCAGCCCTTACAAAGACATGAGATGACCGAACACCTGAGAAGAGATGATGAACCAACATAAACTACCAAACTTTGCTACAAGTTTGATTGCAACATATAATCACTGCTGTTAACAGTGTTCATCGTCAGTGTGATTACGTCATTAACTGAATTTTACCGTACATTTCTGCCATATGTACATCAATTTGACAGTCACCACTGATAAGCTACTACTAAATATACTGTAGAAACTTAATTTTCTGTAAAGCTGCTTTGCGATGATTTGTATTGTGAAAAGCGCTATACAAATAAACTTGAATTGAATTGAACATTATATATTCTTTTTATTAAGGTGTTTTAGTACGTTACAATGTGTTTGTTGAGGAGAAGGCTGCTATTAGTTTTTACTTGGCAGGTGACAATACAGACAAACAAATCTCATGACATATCTAGGGACTAGAATATCATAGAGATGGACAGGCTATTTTGACTTGGGCCAGTGAGAAAATAGGCCTACCTAGCAACCACAAAGCACAATAGCAACTATGCAGATCACCCAACCAGCTGCATATATAGGAACATCCAGGTAACACCCACAACACCCTAGAGCTGTGTGAGAGCAGGAAAGGAAAGCATCAAATGTTTTCTTTAAGAATGGTTAGAATAGTATTTTTAATAAAAAAGTGCAACATTGTAACTACGGAAGTCTATGGATTATCGGGGGATTTACTGTGCGAGATCAGGCAGTGTGAGATTAACCAACATCTCATATATTATATTGTACGGTGACAGATGTGCTGTTGTTTTGTATAAAAATACATGTTCTACACATCATAATTAATAAAATCAATATCAACATTAAAATCAAGATTTTAACAAAAATCCGTTCAAGTTTCCACTGAATTTTCATGCTTCAAAACACCCATTTCATATTACTGTAGGTTCCTTGATGAATAAAGCAGGCAACAAATCAAGAGAGGCCCATATTAACAGAAAAATAAACTTTTCTGATCTAATAAGCAGATAGTATTGGGTTAGACAGTTTGAAGATGTGCACTAACACTTGTGTTTATGAGTGCGTGTCACTGATATAAAAGAACAGACCCTGCATCTGTTAGCTGCTCATGTTTACCACTCTAACAAGGCACAGTAAGGGGGTAACATGAGTACTCTCTCTCAAACACACACACAGAGGCAGTCTGGGTCCAAACAGCAGAGTAGCCAGGCCAAAACATGAGAGCCCGTGTGAACAATGGCGTTATTCTGAGGGGAGCAGATGAGATGGCAGACGGATGAACAACGTAGTCAGAGATCCTGATTGGAGCTGATCAACAGAGACTGTGTGAACACAGACTGGGAACATGTTCAACTCACATAATCTCCATTCATTCCACCTTTCTTTCTGCACTTTATCTTTCTTTTTTTCTTGCTTTTTTTATTATCTCACTCTGTCCCAGCAAAAATGTAGGGATGTCTGGCTAAGTAATGGTGTACCTCAGGGCTCAGTGCTGAGCCCCCTTCTTTTCTTCTATATACTAAACATATCTGTTAGCTGCTCATGTTTACCACTCTAACAAGGCACAGTAAGGGGGTAACATGAGTACTCTCTCTCAAACACACACACAGAGGCAGTCTGGGTCCAAACAGCAGAGTAGCCAGGCCAAAACATGAGAGCCCGTGTGAACAATGGCGTTATTCTGAGGGGAGCAGATGAGATGGCAGACGGATGAACAACGTAGTCAGAGATCCTGATTGGAGCTGATCAACAGAGACTGTGTGAACACAGACTGGGAACATGTTCAACTCACATAATCTCCATTCATTCCACCTTTCTTTCTGCACTTTATCTTTCTTTTTTTCTTGCTTTTTTTATTATCTCACTCTGTCCCAGCAAAAATGTGGGGATGTCTGGCTAAGTAATGGTGTACCTCAGGGCTCAGTGCTGAGCCCCCTTATTTTCTTCTATATACTAAACATTATAAACGTGTGTGTGCGTAGAGCACCCTTGAGTGGAAGTATCATCACCACCAGCTGAAGCAAACATGAGAATAAGCATCATGCACCAGGGGATCAGATCTGACCACAAACGCCCCCCTTAACACATCAACTTCAAACACACACACACAGGCTCAGCATACAGCCACATGCTTGCTGGGAAGTTTGCTCATACAGCAATGAAATGCAGCACGTGAGTGCACACACAAGTCAAGTAGAGCACTAAGGGTCTCACGTGAAACATAACTAATCATAAAATCACCATGATTTTAAAAACAAAGCAAAAATTATGTTATACAGAAAGAGAAAAGGGATGATATCAAGTGCTTATTAGTTGGCTCTCCAGAATACTTGGTTCTAAAAGAAACACACAAGGAAACGGAAGAGGAAAGAGACAAAGTGAAAGGAAACTAGAAAGAGTGACAGAGAGAGATGAAACAAGAAAATGATACCAAAATGCACTAGAAAGAGAGAGACAAGCTTTTGGGGTGAATCACTTTGCTGCAGAGTTTCTTACGACAGACCGAAAAACATTTTCGACAACAGTTTGCAATGCCAACTTACAATGTTTACGACTTTGACAACTACAGCATCGAAACAGCACTTAATCACTTCAGTTTACGTCCCTCCTCTTCTCCACAACTGACATGACGTACAGTATAAAGTCTTTTTTGCTTACCTCTGGGCTCCTCACTTTCTGTTCCTGCATGCTTCTCTGAGTGTGTGTGTATGTATGTGTGAGTGTGTTTCAGTGAGTGTTCAATCGGACAGCAGAGAGGTGTTCATGTTCTGTGGAGTGGCTTCCTTTTCTCTGGGCAGGCTCAGAGACTGTGTTCATCGTGTTTGTGTGTGTGTGTGTGTGAGAGAGAGAGAGTGCATGCCAGAGATGTGGGGAGGCCCTGAATCACTTCCCCACCGCTGCATCCAGCACTCTGCGGCACTCAGCAAGTCTACTGCAGGGAGCACAGCCAAGCAGGAACCAAGAGAGGAAGGGCCACCGAGCCCACACGGAAAAGTTGTACGGCAACACAGTTCCCGCTCAGAAAGTCGACAGTTGACAGGTACAACAAGAGCTTTTGTAGCTTATATGAACCTTAAATCAAGTATCAAAGCCCACAATACTACAGATTAGAAGTTGCATAGTTAATGTTAATCATAATTATTACTGCTGCAGTATTTTAAGAAACTCCTAACTCTAAATATTAGACACTGGTGAATAAGTCATTCTGCATCCTTTTTAGGGGTGGGTGATATACCGCTACACACGATTAACTGGTAGAAATTTGTCAACCGGTTGAGATTTTGGACTATCGTCTCTGTTGCAGATACACGCACACGTGGCATTGCTGTGCTCCGTGGTCACGAACACCTATCATTTGTACATGCTATTAAGCATTGCGGTTTAAAAACAAGTGATTTTAAGCCATTGACATGCAATCAGCAGCAAAAGAGAACTCATTTCGCTATGTGCGTGCTTCTGTCTGTTTCTGAGCGCTGTCAGAGAGGCATGTGCACGTAAAGATGTTGCTCATAGATTGCGGGAGTATGTGAACAAAGGTTTTGTTTTTTTTCTTACTTTATAGTGCTAGAACTGTTAAAAACACAAACTTGTATGTGTCAAAATTCCAGAAAGAAAATCTCTCACTGCTCTTGACTAAATTACTTTTGTAACTTTAATAAGAAATATATATTTAATTTACACACTGAAAAATATGCAGTTTTTATTTTTTATTTAAATGTATGTAGCATTTCTTATTTATTTGTTCTACTGTAGTTTTTTGTACTATTGTTTGTAATTAGTTTCTTATTCTTATTTAATCGCTTGAGTGAGCTTGAGTTTTTTGACAAGAATTATGAAATTTCTATGGTACCAAAAAGTTATATATCATAAAGACCTTATTTAAAGCAAAAATAACTATATTGTGATATACTATTACCATGAAATAAAATTACTCATATTGTGATATAAGATTTTGGACATAACACCTGCCCTAATTCTTTGTGCTAAGAACATGAATGATGCTGTAAATAATGTGGTTTGTTGAGAAGTGTATTACTTTTCTAAGTGATCATGATCAGAGTTTTCGCTTGGCAGATGAAAAACAGATATTGAAAAAATTCTGTAATACTTTGCAATAAGATTCCATTTGTTGACATTAGTTAACTGCAATAGTTAACAAGAACTAACAATAAAATTTCTAAAGCATTTATTAATCTTAGTTAGTTAGTTAGACTACCGGTATTCGGTAATGCGATATATCACGGTAATGAATATGCACGATATTGTTATCGTGGGCACTTCTAAATACCGTGAATAATTATATATTACAAATTATTCAGAATTTTGAATGCATTTTTTAAATGTTCAGTTATTTTTGTTATAAGAAAAAAGTTATTAAACCTGTTATACTGTATTATGACAACACTTTTTTTCAAACTAAATTGCAATATCGTGATAATACCGTATACCGTGATAAAAGCATGAGCAATTAATCACAACATGAAACTTTGATACCGGCATATCCCTAATCTTAGTAAATGTTATTTTCAACATATAACACATTAATAAAATATGTTGTGTCTGTTAATATTATTTAATGGACTTGGGATAATATGAACTAACAATGAACAATTGTATTTTCTTTTAATAATGTTAACAAGAATTAATAAATACTGTAAGAAATGTATTACTTAATGTTAAAGCATTACCAAAAGTAGAGCCGGACCGATATATCGTTTTGGCCGATATGAGTCTGTCGCAGATATATTGGTATCGGCGAATATGCCACCGATATGAAATTTTTTTTTACAGGACATATAACGCAGATTAAATGCTTCTGAATGGTGTAATTACTTAGTTTTTTCAGCAGAGCGTGCTCCATTGTTTGCTACTGGCAACCCAGGTCTGTGAAGTGTAGAGATGCGCGGATGAGCTCAAACTTCACGCGAGTCTGCTGCTTCAAATTATCCACCCGCACCTATATTTGATCGTCACATTACAATGATTCTAATTCTTAGTTTTGCATGATGATATGATGAATGGATGGTTCATTTTTAACAGCAGATTCAGTGACGTTAGAGACTAGAGCTGATCTGCGCATCACGGCACGCGTCTGCGGTGCATTTGATTAATTTTTATCAGCAGATTCAGTGACGTTAGAGACTAGAGCTGATCTGCGCATCACGGCACGCGTCTGCGGTGCATTAAAGCCTGTGTTAAGGCCACCGGAGCTGATTGTGGCCACTCAGTCAATGCTGGTGTTTATACCGGCTGCGCTGCGGCCCAGAACTCATGCTTATCACATCAGTCACATCGCGCGGCACGACAAAATACAATAGATTTCTATTGTATTTTGTCATGGCACGCCGCTCGCGTCCGGTGTAGAATAGAACCCATTATAATCAGTGATGTTGTCTACACTGGATGCAGTAAACTGATGCCCCGTTCTATTTATGACGTGCTGACACAAAGTTCAAATGATTTTCAATGGTCGCTTTGTCACGTCCTGTTGCGGCGCAGACACAGTGTCTAATCACATTACAATGATTCTAATTCTTAGTTTTGCAAGATAATATGATGAATTGATTCATTTTTAACAGCAGACGAGCTGATCTGTGCATCACTGCACGCGTCTGCGGCGCATTCCAGCTCCACGCCACCGGAGCTGATCGCGGCGGTCAATGCTTGTGTTTATACCAGCAACGCCGCATCCCAGAACTCATACTTATCACATCGGTCACATCACATTTCCTAAGGCAGCATAGTTTGTCAGTACAGTCAGTAACGCAGCAGATTGAAAAGTTTGTATCTTTCTGCAGTCCAATAGACAATAAATGGTGATTTCGCGCTATGTTGTCACCTAGTTGGTGAGACGCAATGCTATAAAGTAAATAAACAATGTCCCCGACTTTTACTCTCACAATGAGCTTATCATACTCGTTTGCTACATGAATAGTGCCCTATGATTTCCGCGATGCAGAAAACATGGACGGAATCGCGGAATCCAGTCATAAAAACGGAATTTACTGTATACCGTGGAATTTCATGGAATTTCTTATTTTTGATGAATAAATAAAAAACTGGTCAGTACATATATATAGACTATGTCTGTGAAAATTAAACTGCAAAAAGACTTATTTAAATATGAATGTTCTGCATGTTCATTTGATTACCAGAAAATACACAACACAGAATTTGTGGGGGAAAAAAAATATTCATTATTATTATTAATTCATTTTTATGTTGACATTTGGAAAAGCTGTGCTTCCTGCATCAACCTGCCCCTGTTGGCTTGGCTGTAGCTTGCTTGCCCTCCACAGTTACCTTGTTTAATTTCTTAATTCAAGTTATATATATTTTGTTCTATTTGTGTTAGGTTATATATATATATATATATACACACACACTGTATTCCAGTGGTTCTCAGCTACATTCCTGGAGGACCCCCAACACTGCACTTTTTGCATGTCTCCTTTTTTTGACACACCCATTTCAAGTCTGTGAGTCTCTACTAATGAGCAGGTGACCTGAATCAGGTGTGTTTGATTAAGGAGATATGCAAAATGTGCAGTGATGGGGGTCCTCCAGGAATGTGGTTGAGAATCACTGCTGTATTCTATATACAGTACCAGTCAAACATGTGTCCAAACTTTTGACTATACTCTACTATAATATAGCCTACACATAAAGAATATCGGCCGATATATCGATATCGTTTTTTTTTGTACTCCCTAATATTGGTATCGGCATCGGCCCCCAAAAAGCCCATATCGGTCGGGCTCTAACCAAAAGAGTTACAAAAGATTCAATAGACTTGGGGGCTGTTCACACAGAACACATTTTTAGCATTCCCCCTCTAAGAAAGCCCCTAAAAACCCAGGACAGCCCTAGCAACCGCAAAGCAATGAACACCACTAACTTTTTACTTCAGAATTTTTTTTAAGTCTATACTACGCTTCCCTGTTGTAGTATTATTCATAAGTAAAAACCAACAAGATTTGTTTTTTTCACCATGTTTCCAAATTCTCTACCCCAGGTCTAAAAGAAATGTAAAGATTGTACAAACTGAAAACATAAAATACTTTTGTGATCTATTTCCATTTGTTATTTTCAAAAGAGAAATACTGTCATGGATGTTTACAGAGCAGAGGTCACCTTTTTTTTCATTCCAATGGGAGAGATGGACTTTTGTTTATAATTATTTTGTGCTGTATTGTTGGTTACTGTGTTATTTCTGTTTCAAAAGCCAGCAATAAATAACACTTTAATATCTAAAGAGTGTTCATGTGATTTTATACATTAGTAATGTTGGG